TATCCTATCCTATCCTATCCTATCCTATCCTATCCTATCCTATCCTATCCTATCCTATCCTATCTATCCTATCCTATCCTAAAGTACAAGAGAACTGTTGTGTAATACAAGAGAATGTAAAGGGAAATGTATTGTAGTGTTACCTCTGTGTAATTTACAATATATCTGCATTACAGCAAGTCTCAGAGGTATTGGGGCAGCCAATTTGCAAACTCGCTAGCGAATTGGCTAACTCTTGGGTTTTGACTAAACAGTTGGCTTTCGAATCTCGTTGGCACTGATTCGTCCACTCCGGGTGAGTCTAAGTTGCATTAGGGGGACATAGAATGCTTTTACGTAGCCTGGTAGGCACATGTCTAGATTCCCCTGAATGATTTGCTTTGTTACGAGGCATGATAATGTAAAAGTAGTTTCCCTGGTAAGCCTGAGAAGAGTCAGCTGTGAAATTCGAGAAATCCGCCGATAATTACTATATGGGGGTATGACATTTATAAAAAGCACAGTGATGAAATTCACTTTAAATGTACCTGAAAATTATCTTACAATCGCATACGAGTCGTCAAAACGTACAGTTTGGTGATTTGGAAATTTTGCATAGTTTCAATACGCATACAAGCACCCGTATACATTTTGACAATAAACCCCTCTTTCACATTATGCAAACACAAACAAGACAGTGACATGTAAGTGTTGTATAAACCCGAATGAAAAGTCCGGAGTCACGGCGAATACTTCTAGCGAGTCACCCCTCTAAAAACCTCTTCAACTAGCCAAGGCCAATCACTAATGTGCGGGGTCAATAATAATTTTATTAACACTTACACATTCCCCGGAGAAATTGGAAATGGTTACAAATGTTTAAGAAAGAATAAAAGATTTTTAAAAAAATATTTAAAAAAATATAAAAAAAAAAAAATTAAAAACTAAGCTGATACATTACAGAGGAAAAAAAATAAAACTAAATTATTATCCTATAAACAGATAGAAAACAAACTGTTAAACTTAACTGTGAAAAAAGATTGTCACTGGGGCTGGTGTCTTATTTCAAAACAATTCTTTAGGTACCTTGCTACATGGAGTGCTAGACCACTGTTGTTTAGTAAGGCTATGAATTGTGACTTTGGTGACGGATTTTGGTTTTTGCCATTTCAAATAAGACATTTATACATATGTTTTCAGGGTCAAATAATCCAAAAATACCACTAGTTTAGACTTTTATATAGTGGAGGAGAGTCATTTTAAATTTATACGACATGGCAAAAGAGATCCTACTCATGCGCCCAAGAGTCTTGTGTCTTGTCTTGGGACGTTTCACACACTCAAGACATTATAAAATGTACTGGAAATAGTTTGGAAGGAAATGGTGCAGAGAATGTGTGGTTAGAAGCAGGAGTCTATGATTCGCCCATAGACTGGTGCAACAGCTCCACTTGTTCTTTCAATGATCCAACAGCAGGCAGTACTTGGTGCAGTACTAGATGCTGGAAATAAGTCCAGAAATTTTCTGGAACTTCAAGCGTATCAGTTTCACTTCTCAAAAGCAGCTTCACATCAAAATCTGCCACCAACGTCTCAGGGATTGACACCCCATATCTACGGTGCACGTCCTTGACAGGCAGCTCAACATTAGACAACATTAGAACAGCACCTTTAGATCCATTGAGAGTAGAAACTTTCTTCCTTCACGGAAATCGTATGATCCTCGTTGGATTGTGGTCTGCCATTGTGTCAAAAGTGCTTCGAATTCCGTAACGTGTCATTGCCAACCCGCTGGTAAAATGCTGTTCGTTTTTCAAGTGTCAGAAAACAGATGACTGCAAAAATCCTCATAACTCAGCCGATGAAAAACATGATGAGTATGGACTTGGGACTATAATGCTTTTGAATGACATCATAATGTATCAATGATCTATTATAGCAACATGTTTTGCTATCAGTGGTGATTTTGACACTAATTTGGAATTAAGGTTTAAATACATACTTAAACAAATAAAAATAATGTACATTTAAGACTTTCATTGAAAACATAGGTATAACCAAAAATTTATAACGCTCTGTGGTTTATACATGTATATCAGAAATAGGTTAATTATAGGAAAATATATCAATTTCATGGCGACCATTTTGAAATTCATGATGGCTGCCCCTCCCCTAGCTCCCCCACTGTATGATTGTCTACAACTGTGGTATTTTCGTGATTGTTTGACCTGAAAACATAGGTATAGACACCAGAATCACTTCCCTATGAGCCCCAAGACAAACTGCCCAAGAGCAGAGATATTGTCAAAAATAGGTAATTTGGCGACCATTTTGAAAAGCGCCCTCTGTAGAAAAAGTTAGGCATTCTCAGATCGATCACCCAAGTTTTGCTGAACGCCCTTGACCTGTACAATAAAACAATGAAACCGGAATTTTTTATTAATTTGTCCTAACTGCTATGCTGTTAGAATTTCATTGTTTCGACCAGGTTAGACTGGTTGACGTTATTCTATATTAGTGTACTAATTAGAGTATATATTAGTGTACCATTTACTATTAATTTCTTTGTTTTCTTGGAAAGCTTGTTTTAATAATGGATAAGACGAGTTCTGTACACGATTAAAATATTTTATCATTTGTTTTCCAATAAAAGACTCCAATGGGTAACCGTATAAGCCCATGGTGTTTTTGGACGTCCCCAAGAGAAAAGGAAGATAATTTATATGTACATCTTCAATTGCTGATTTTAGTGAAATTTCTGTGGTTGGTTTCGCAGTGAGTAGGGCTTTGTCCCAGTAACTGGTCCTTGCATCCTTGTTGAGAATTAAAGTTTTATGTTTCTTTAACAACTGGCGCTATTCTGGGAATACCATCTTGGCAGGAGTTCCAAAATAAGACCCATGCTCTGATAATGCTTCTAGTTTCAAAGAGCAATAAACATTACCATTATGATCTTATTAGTCTTGCAAAGGATAGTTGAATATTGTTTATTG